AAAAAAAAAAAAAAAAAAAAAAGAATGCAATACACACCTTAAGCCAGGACCGGTCATATCAGGACAACCCGTCATCGTACAGAACTCGGATATCGTTCCGTAAACGAGATTGATATGATCAAATAGTGCAAGAGTATGAGAGGCCAACCATTCGTTGTAATCCAAACCAGGTGGCAAATCGACCAACATCCTCAAGTCCAGCTCTGGCAGTTGCCTTTCAAGAGCCGCCTCCTCGAGATACAATTTCGGATCCTCTGTTGTTCCCGCATCCTTCTCCTTTCGTCGGGCTTTTCTACGAACAGCGTAAAATCGCTCATTTAATCTCGTTTCACCTCTTGTCACGTTAACCTGCTACCACATTTGCTCAAGCAATAAAGCATTATTGCTCAGCATAGAGGATTCATGTGTTGGGGAATTCTTGATCTAGGAAAAATATTAATTTTTTTTAAGGTGGTATGTGTGGTTATGTTGGATATTTAAATTATATTTGAAATAAAACATATCAATTTGTTTATTTTAATTTTCTATTTTTATAATGTTTCCAAAAATTTATAATGTTTTTAAAAATAGATTAAGTTACATCTGAATGAGAAAATATATTTTACGATCTGTAACTCGAAAGATGTGTTCCATCATCAATATGTTATTATGTGAATGTAAGTTGTAAATCCTTATGATATATGAATGATGTCCTTAGATATAAAAATTCATTTAAAATTTTTGTTTCTATAACGAATGTGATACTATCGCATATATGATTGATAACAATTGCAATATTAATGTGCGTGTATGTGTATGTTTCATTTTAATTAATATAAGATGAATAAAATTTATTTCTTAATTAAACTAAAATTAAACTAAAAGAATGAAATTAATACTTTGTTGATTATTCTATAATTTATAGAGAATAAAAATTCAAGATTTGAAAATATATTTGGATGTGTGCAATATTCATGTTACATAAGATTAACTCAAGTAAAAAACAGAAAATAAACTTAATCTAATTCATCGATTCCGATCTAATCTAATTCGATCTAAACTAATAAAATCTTCTATTGTAAATACTCGAAATATTCATTATCAATTTTACAGAAAATCTGTAAACAATAAAAATTGTGTAAAGTAAAACTGTGCTCGATGATAAAAATTCTTCAGTGCAAAAACACTGAAGTCTGATCGATGAAAGAAAACGGTGAAACATTTCGCGAGTCTCTCAGAAATAGAAAATAAGAAGAGTGGAAGAGGGATGCATTTCGATGTCTCGTTACAAATAGTGCTTTAAACTGTGTTTCGAGTTCGCGTTATCGACGCAGCGATCGAGAAACTGAGCGGATCTAGAGCGCAAAAAATACTTGAGGGAAGAGAAGGGCAGTATAGTTTCAAGAATCGTTTTCGAACGATCGAAACGAAGTATGTGAGAAACTTTGAAAAGTTTTTACGATATGCATATGTTAAAATAGAAATCGCGCTCTTTATGACAAATTTATCAACTATTATTCTTTATTGCAAATTATTTTTATGTAATATCGCATCAATTATTAATTGCTATTAATAAATAATAATTAAATCATTATATCATTTGAATAATATCGTACACTTCATATCGCATGTAATACAATAATTATAATAATAATAATAAATTTTTTATTTATGATACAGCAATAATTCGTAATCAATAGTGACTATATATACTATTGTTTAAGAGATAATAACGATAGATAATTTATATAATGAAATTTGTGGATTTTTAATTTTAAATGTATATAAATAAGATATATTAATATTTTAGATCTTAATCTTAATAATCCTTTATGAAAAATCTAAAAATTTCATATTTCTTAAATGAAATATAAAATAAATATGCAGTATAATATATTTGTAAATAAAATTAAATTTGATATTGATATAGAAAAATTTAATTTTACTAATAGTTACGAGTAATATTAATAAAAGATTTTAAACATGAGAATGTACATTCAAATAATAACCATGAATTGTTGAAATTTAATTTTGTGACTGTATGATCAAAAATTAATTTAATTTTGTAAATGCAAGTAATGTGTCAATTTCACTAATGGTTGAGAATTCTATAAACGAAATAGTACAAAATTTATTTTCACAATGCAATCATTAATGTATTTTACGTAATTCTATTTTTAACTCAGTGAAAATAATGCAAATGTTCTACAATTTTTAATTTCTACTTATTTCTTGAATAATTTCAAACCAAAATGATAAAAATTTTATATTTACACAGAGATATACATAACCTATTCGTCCGTTTCTTGCAATTTTGTTCAGCAAGCACTATCATGCCACACAAATGAATTAAATAGCACTAGATCATTTTGAGGTTAATTATAGATTATGCGAATACGAATGAAATGTTGCGTCCGCATAAAATATAAGATTCATTTCAGGAAATCATATTCGATTGTAATCCACCACAATTATTAATGCACAAATATCTTTGCTCACCATTGATCTTGACTCAGAGTTATAAGTTATTAATCTGACCTGTCTTAATAACGAGGCCTGCCACGACCTCTAGGATTCTCATTATAACGAAAGTCACGTTCTGTTTGTTTGTCGAGCAGTGCGCGAAACTTTTCTATTGAAAAGACTAATTACCGACAAGACAAAGTAAAAAATTTTAGAACTTTATTTAGCGAAACCTAGATAATAGAAAAATCGAATCTGATTACATTTGATTCCACATATGTTAACTCGTTTATTTTTTAATATGAAAAGAAAAAAATAAAAAATTTTTAATAAAGTTAATATTTTTAAGCAAAATTGATAAATCATTGAAAATACCTAGTAGTTATATACGAGTTTACGTTATACTTCAGATTATTATTTAACACATCATGTTTGATTATTGGGTGCGTGGGCACGTGATTTGTTTGAAATTACATTCCATTGATTTTCAAGTGAATGACGACTATAATTATCGAACTAGAACACGAACACTGTTGGTTATTTCGAATGATCTATTGATAACTTATCAAGCTTCTGATTTATACGAGTAATAAAATAATCAACGTTAACGAATATTTCTATATAGCTTATATAGATATTCAAGAATAATTGAGCATAAAAATGTAATAAACAAATAATTAAATGAATGGAAAAAATAGACAAATGATATAATGAATTTTTACATATCAATTATATAAGTTAATATAAAAAGCAATCCAATAATAGATATCATTAATATATTTTATAATAGATAAATATATAAATAAAAAATCTTATTTTTCTGTTTCACTTGAATAAAACATTTCAGAAGGCAAGTTTACAATTTCAAATAAATAATAAGTTTTTATTAATACGTAATTATATTTTAAATATTTATTGTTAAAAAATCTAAAACGTAAGCTATTAAACGTATAATATCTTTTGATTTCTGTAACTTCAATTCAAAATAAATTATTATTTTTTTTTTTGAATCACTTGAAAAGCAAATTTATTTAACATGATACATATATTGTTTTAACTTTTAATTTTTATCAATTTCGTATCAATAAGAATATTTTTGTCTTAATAATATTTTTTATAAAATAATATTCGATAAATATACAGATATTTTATATTATTTTTATTATTATTTAATATTTTTCATATTTTCAGTCTGATCGAATCATAATACATTAAATTATTTAAAAAAAAATTATAAAAAATATTCAATATAAATCGATATCGATTAAATTCATTGAACAATATATTGCAGAAAACAAATTATACATGCATATATATAATTTGAAAAAGTAATTTCATCCTGGGATGAAGGTTAATATGTTGGCCTAAATGCACTTTGCTCTAGAGGTCGCTCTCTACTGCGATTTTCCCTAACGATTCTCCCTTCTTCTCTATACCATTCTGCGGCAAATTTTGGAACACATTCAAGCTCATTAGCTCAATATCACTAGTACATACTGCTAGCAATATGTTTCTACAAAGCTACCGCATTCGCATCGATTTTCTCCTTACTAGTTACGCATAAAGAACGTATCAAATGAAAATGAATTAATGAAATGAATCATGGAAACTACTAATATCAACTTAAATAAATATTGCAATCGATAATCAAAAATAAATCCAATCAGTGTCTAAATCGAACGAACGCTCTGCCATCTACAACTTATTCGAGCGTCGAGTTCATTCCTTTTTACAATTATGGCTGCCATTTGTAGAAAAACGTTTCGTTCGAGATTGCTAGAAGTTCAAAGTGGAGTGCAGGAAAGCAAAGTCGCGTACGGTCTCCTGACAATAGCATGGGCCGAGTGAGCTTGTTTCGAAATGTTTTGGCGTACTCACGAGAAGAGGCGACCACAAGTACATCGCCTCTTCTCCTGTCCGCTCGGATGTCTCGTAATTAGCAAGTTTCCATCCGACAGCCCGGAAACGTGGCGCTCCGTAAACCGAAAAATGAAACTCGCGGTCTAATCTAGGTTATACAACTGGTAAACTGTGCTAGAAACTAAGTCGTGTTAAAATTGACTTGAAATTTCGATTTAGAAAAATGTAAGTGAAAATATATTTTAAAGGTTATGAACACTTTGAAGTGAATATTTTTTATATTTTGAAAGATTACATTGAAATATAAATTTGATTTAAAAATTTAACCTATAATAACTAAGACTCTCAATATTAACGTGTAATTATTATTCGAATTATATCTATCCTTCAAATTAAACACTTAAATATGAATTAACCAATATACTATATTACAATGAAATCGAAATCCTTGAAACTTTGCCAGAAAATAAAATATAAATCGAACTATCGAATATATAGCTTGAAACGAGTTAATTAACGTTTACTAAAGTAGAGACAAAGTCCGATTTGTCTTGATCTAATGATCCATTAAAATAACAGCCATGTTAAATATATAAGTTAGACTATAACTTAGACTTTCAAATTATTTTGTAAAATATTAATTTAATAGATAATTTAAATTATTTTACTGAGAAATAATTTATGTATGAAATATTCGTCAAGATTAGACTCTTTTGGATTAAATTACGAATTTAATATTCTCATTAAAATTAAAGATTCTAATTTTTAACACAACTAGGATAAATCATTAATAACAACTCGAAGAAAATTCTACATGCATATTTAATTAGAGTTTATGATTCATTCATTAACGTTGCTATAAATGCAAATTTATCTACTCTTTGAAAAAAATTTTACATTTTAATTAGAACTGACAATTTTTACTATTATGATGATTTTATCACAGTAATACGAGAATCTCTAACAACCTCGTGAATTTGAAGCATAATT